GCTCTCTGTGTCACTTTGTTGTGTTGTGTTGTTCATGTATTAGGCTTAAAAATCCATCACACGTGAAGGGACGTGTTAAGAATGAATTCCACATTGATGAGAATATGAACCATGCATGGACTTATAAGAGGTTAAGCTATTTGGAACCTCAACTTCTTCGGTGTAAGGGCATGTTGACCACATCTTTTGTACGTCAACGCTTTCGAAGATACAAGACCTCTATATTTTGATCTCATCCGATTTTATGCTGGAGTGAGAGTTGTCTTACTGAGATAACCTTCCGAAGTTTCCCTCCGAAGGATCTTTCGTTTGAGATAACATGGCATTTGTCCCATCGTTCTGTCTTGAGAAACCACGCTACTCTAGAAACCCACAAACCCAATCCTACCCTACCATCCAATACATAAAGAAGAAAAAGGAAAAGGTATTTGGTGATTTGGTCCCATCATCTAGATATTTTGCTGTACAATATACTGTTTTTTTCTCGTCACGCGAAAAATATAGACAGATAGATATACTTTCAGTGTGAATTCATGATTTGAATTTTGAGGGTGTTAAAGTACAATTTTTTTAGATAGAAACAAAGCGTAAAAAAAAAAAAAAATTAGTTTATTATGTGATGCGTTTTGTTGAACACTTGGCGGGCTTGTTGTCGTCAACCAAACTATGTTGCGCACATGTCAATAAATACAACATATGCCAAAGCAATTTAATGAGTGATATCAACAAAATATGTTGAGTGCTGTTGATACAACATGTCGAGATATACTTAACATGCATTACATCAAACGCTTATTAGGCACAAAAATGACCTGTTCTAAACGTTCGAAGAGTCCTCAGACTATCTTTACATAGATATTTTTAGGACTTTGGTCTCAATGTACATCTGCCCTACTTCCAGTTACACCGAAGAATTTGCTCCTATCATCCCATTGCGGCATTGTGCTTTTTCAAAACTTTTCGACTAACAAAGGATGATAATTCTATTAGGAAGTACAAATATCTCCGGTTCATGACTTCTCTTGCGTTTACGATAAAAAATTACGTCAATCTTACATTCCAAATTAGTAACTTAGTACTTGAAAAACCAAAAGTTAGATTGATTACGGGGTAGTTGATTCCATACCTAATTTTCTTCTATTATTCATGACTTTTCTAACATACAATTGGCAAATCACCATTTTAGGGGCATCACCTATATGTTGATTGCTTTTTTGAGTTTAAGTGAGTCTTTTTAAATGTGCGCATAAATGCAAAAGAAAGATAAGTTATCTTCATCATAACTCACAACCCTCTTTTCGGATATTAATCCCAAGAACTACTATTTTTGGCCCACTTTCATCAACCCACACTACAAAAAGTTATTTTCTCTGTGATACGTTTTTATGACAACTAAGGATTCGTTTGGAAATACTTTTAAAGTAATTGACAACACTTTTAGAAGAAATGTTTTTGGGTTCCAAAAGCACTTCAAGTGTATTTTCAGGATTTACTTGCATTTTTACTAAAAATTGGTTTCAAAATTACTTTCACCAAAAACGCTTTCAGTTATTTTAAAAAACATTTTTATACGAACCCTATTATGTTGCAAATAGAGTTGATTCCAACACACCATTTTTCTCTCATGCATACCTCATAACTCATGTTTGTTTTTTATCATTAAATCAAATAAATTAAAGAAAACCAACAGATAAAAACAAATTAGGCGTGCAAAAGAGAATAGAAGGTTTGTAGAAATCATCTCCCATTTAATCATTAAAAAGACAACCAAAATGAAAGTACGGCATGTAGCCAAGTTCATTAAGCAACGTGTCTCTTCCTCTACACTTAATTTGAACCCATTTATCAATAGTTTAGATTAAATTAGATTAAACTACCGCTCGAATTAAAAAACTGATGAAAGTGATTTTGATTAAATTTATATGTGCATGCCATTAACAAATTGAAAATAATGTTGCAGTCGCATGTTTCTTTGGAAGATGAAACGCAAAGTATGCATATTTTTTGCAAACAAACTTTTGAACTTTGAATATTTGTCCGGAGTTCTTCTCGATCTCAGCTGAAAAAACAAATAATGTATCCAGTCTCCTTCAAACCCTAAGCCAACCGTGAGTTGATGATTTCTCCACCAAATTTTGTTTAAAAAATCATATTTTATTGGAAACTGATCCGTGATACTACTTTTTTCATATAATTTTTAAAACATATTTTTGTGATGCTTACTCTGTAATGTATTTTAATAATCTAACCGTTTATCTTTTACAACATCATTAATATATCATCCTTGCACAAAATTAGACAAATAAAAAATCATTAAGATATTTATTTGTAGTAAAGAAAATAAACTAATACGGTTCTATAAAACAATTGAAAATCCTTAATACAACAGTCATATGATTTTAAATTTAAGTGATTTTTGGTAGACATAATCTTTGTGGAAAGAACTAAAAAATTAAAAATAATTTTGATAACAAGATGATAAATGAACGAACATGATGAAATAATATATGAGATCCTCACAAAAAAATCCGAATAGGATCCTATTCTTTCGCTTTGACCTCCACGACTGGTTGTGTGATTCTTATTTATTTAAGGTAAACATTTTTTTAGATTTTGATTGGAAGCTGTGAGGTGCTTATTTTTAACTCATTACCTTTAACAAAAAACAATTCCTTCCACACAAAACTAAGACTTCTGTCGATCCGAACAGCTTGCACTTTGGATCTGATTATTCAAATATTGTATTATTTTATATTTCGTTTTATTAATAAAGCGCCACTAGGGTGGATGGATCATCTTGTCTTAACCTTCTAAATACAATGTTCTTTCCCACTAAATAATTTATAATAATGTTTAAGTTGTACAATAATATTAATACATGTTAATAAATTAATGGAAGATAGTTGAAGTCAAATTACATTAAAATTTGGTATAATAAAACCAATTAGTAAGCTAATATGATGTCAATCATATATTTTAGTGTGCTCTACAACATAATTTCATAATCTAACTTCGTTTATATATGGTGCATTGAAAATATTATGTATGTCAATAAATGTTAGTTGAGTTCGTAAAGATCGTTCTCTTTGTTAAATCAAAGACTAGTTCGAGTCCTACTAATGATAATTCCGGACTAAGACTTACATATTAAAACCCTTTCTCTAAGTCCTCAAAAGAAACTTGTAGCATGCCTTAATTTTGAAATGAGATAGCCTCCCCTCCCCTGAACTTATTGAAATTGAAAAAAATATTACGCTCATTTATTTGTATGATCATGATTAAAATAACATTTTTCAAATTCTCAAGACACTAGCTGCGAATTGACAGCTCGGATCCCACCAATAATCTTTGGAGACGTGCGGCTTATTATAATAATAGTAATACAAACTTATGCATGCAATTAATTACGGATTAACAAACTTTGCTTTAGTATTACCTTATTGTTATGAATTAAACAAAGCCTTGTTTCTCTTTCATTCTTTCTTATATGAAAAAAAAAATCAAAACGAAATAAAATATGACTTTTCCAAGTATTGGGCAAGTGGGATGGATTCCTTTCTTTAGTTTTTATTAGAAGCATGCTTTTTGTTTTAGTACTCTTTATTTTTTTTCTTAATTAAACAAAAGGAAGACTAAATTATTAGTTTTTCTTAGTGGTCGGGATTCTCTTTGGATCTTTAAATTTTCTGCGTTCTATGATAGGTGCTGGCTCCGACTGCCGACCCATCACTTCCACACCATCGTCTTTCGGCCTTCAGTTGCTCACAACTAGTCCTTCAATTCTCTGCATTGTACGATAGGTGCTGACTCTAATTGCCGACCCACCACGCTCACACCATAGTCTTTCAGCCTTTGGTTGCTCAAAACTGGAACCAAGTCCTCCCAAATAAAGAGAGAAAAGAGTTGGAGAGAGAGATATAGGGAGAAGACGGAAGAAGATGAACATAAAAAACCAAAAAAGAAGGTTAATTAATTCATGACAGTTTGATCTTCGGTTGAATGGACATAATTGAAGAATCTGAATGGAAGAGATCCATAAAGTATCCTATTTACTAGAAGCATGCTTTTTGTTTTAGTAATCCTTTTTTTTTTCTTAATTAAACAAAAGAAATACTAAGTTATTAGTTTTCCTAGAAGCATACTTTTTGTTTTAGTACTATTTTTTAATTTAAACAAAAGAAAGACTAAGTTATAAGTTTTTCCCATGCTTTTTGGTTTAGTACTCTTTTCTTTATTAATTAAACAAAAGAAAGACTAAAGCTATTAATTTAAAATAAAAAAGCACTAACGTGTGCAGCCAATATAGAATTATGATACTTAATTGTACTTTATTATATTATTTTTTCTAGCTTGTCGTTAAACTAATATTTTGCGTTGGTCTGCATTTTCAAAAATAAAAATAAAAAAATAGTAAAGTGTTTCTGTTATTTTAAATTATCAGAAGAGGAACCAAATTTGGAATCTCAGGTGCAAGTTTTTGCCCTTAATTTTTTGAACTGTGAACCCTTTGTTAATCAATAAGTTTTTTTTTTCTTTTACACAAGCAATAAGCTATTTTTTTTTTTTTTTGTAAGTAAAAGTTTAGAGAGATATTAGCTACTTTCATCACTAGCATCAGGACATACCACAATTTCAACTCGAGATGGTAATAAGCTATTTTAAATTAATCGCAACTGCACAAAAAACTACATCTACTCTAGATAATATGACTACATCAAGACGTATCAAACTCAAATGTGCAAAAAAAAGTAGAGGGTATTGAAAAAAATATAATCTAAAATAAGACGTGTCAATTATGTTATTCGTATATATTATGACATGTCATACACAAAGCTGCCATCTTGTGTTTTGGATATATATAAAAAATTCTTTTATCCAACAATCAACGAGTTAATAATTACAAAAGAGTGACCGTCGAATCCGAAAGACATGATATCAAATAGAATGATACTTGCAATTCTCAATGCATGGGGCATTTTTGTATCTATCTGCATAGTTGAGAGAGAGAGAGAGAGAGAGTTTCTGTCTTCCATTTTGTGAGTTTTGATGATTTGCGAGAAGGGAGAAGAAGCAGCTAAGAATTACATGAACATGGAGAGAATCAGAGGAACAAGAAGGCCAACCATGGCAGCAAGCAAAAACCAGAAGAGAATCATGAGAGAGCAGAGCAAAAAACACAGGAGGTACAGAAGAGGAGATCAAGATCAAGACAGCACAGAAGAGAGCTTGGGTTTCTCCGACCACCAAGCTCCGCCGCCGCTAAAGGCTGCCCGTGAAGTGATCGGAGTTGTAGTTCCCAGAAAGGCTCGCTCAGGTATAACAACATCCAAATGCAATTGATAATCTCTCTGTCTCTCTCTCTCTGTCTCTCTCTGTTTTGGGTTTGCTCTGTTTTTGGATTTCGTTTTAAATTTGATCTCTCTTTTTGCAGCTGCTGGAAAGAGGTCGCATGAAAATTTCTCTTCTGGGAGTTATGGAGGAGTTGGGGAGGAAGAACAGAGTCTTCAGCAGCTGAGCTTTAAAGCTGCGTCGCTTTCTTTCTCAAACGTTTCATCGAGGAAGACGATGGTCAGTTAGTACTATGTTATCAAAAAATGATTTTTGAAGAAAGTTTTTGGAAAGTTTTGAGATTTTTGAGCTTATGAATTCATATGTTGCAGAAACGAAATGGACCCAAGATTCAGTTTCCGAAATCTTCGAAATCTTCAGGGCCTGTAGAAGAAGAAGAGGACATTGAGATTGAGATCGCTGAGGTTCTCTATGACCTTATGAAGCAAACCCAGAATTCAAAAACTTCTAAGTTCGAAACTGAAGATAGAAATGGTATTAGCGACGGTTTCCTGTTTTTTATTTTTGATACAAGCGCGATATTCTACTTTAAACTAATCTAATCTGCGAGCTGCGTACTCGAACGCGAGTGCAAAGGGATGCGCATCCGCTCGAGTCAATATGACTACGCCATGTCTGAGTCTAATGATTTTTATCCGTCTGTTTGCTTTTGCAGATTCCGAGGAGAAGAAAGCGGAGGATGGAAGTGCTTCAATGGCGGTTCAAAGCAGCTCAGCTGGTGAAGGAGTTGAAGTCGAAGAAAGTGACCAGCCAGAAAAGATTGAAGCTTGCTCTGAAGGTGCATCAGGGTCAATGGACCCGCACGAGGAGAAAGCCGAAAATCCATACGTGGAAGAAAAGAGCATCATCACCACAAAAGGGGAGTTTTCGTGTGAAGATTCGAAAGGGACAAAAGCGTGAGCATAAAAAAATCTTTGCCTTGTTTCTCTTTTTCTAGTTTGATTGATATCTGTCATCGAAATATCTGAATGATTCGGTAAACCCGAAAACGAAATCTAATTAGTTCTGTGTTTTGATGGGTGGAAATTGTCAGGATTTCAACTGGGTTGGAGCATAAGAGGAAGAGAGAGGAGGGAAGATTTGAATTTGATCTGATGGTGAGTTCTTGTTTCTCGGGTTTTCGATTTGGTTGCATTTTGTGGAATGCTTCTTGTTATCTCCGTTTCACTGATGCATTGTGGCTGATTTTCGAGCAGGCTCCTCCTCCTATGGACCAGGATGACGACTTTGCAGATTCCGTATCTGATCCTATACCTCCGACCCAAGATGTAGATATGGTAAGCGAACTCACCCGCTGAATTCTTTAGGGCTCATTTGACAACCATTTCGCTTTTAGTTCTTTCAGTTTCATGACCCTTTCGTCATGTTTTTTATGCAGAAGATCGAAGTTTTGGTAAAGAATGAAGAGAAAGTGGAAATATTTCTGGAGGAAGTTGTGGTAGAAAAGCAGGAAGAGAAGAAGGTAAATGAGAATCCAAATCAAGATAGTAGCAGGAAATCCACTACCAGATTACATGTTTCCAGTCTTTTCGCTATGTCGAAACTTTCCTTTTTCTGTTGATTTCTTCTTGAACTTTAGGTCTGAATTTTGCTGTTGTGCAAATTGCAGCCTTCCGATTCCCTTCTGCCTCAGCAGCCGCGAAAGAGATGCGCAACCCACCGTCACATTGCTCACAACATTCACTTGCATCAGAAGGTTGCACAGACAAACAATTTCTGGCCAGCAGCAACTGGTTCTGTTCCTCAATGTGGCACCAAGCCAGACATCCCATTGCTGGGAAGCTTCTTGGGTCCGAATCTTCGACACTCGCAGAAAAAGAAGCAGGCTGCGCCGAAGTTTCTAAGTGATAGTGGAAAAGATAGAAGTTCCGAGGCTGGGAATGTCGTAGAAACATCACATAAATTGCAGCTTTCAGTTCAGCAAACTCCACAGCCAGCCTATGCTGGTTACCAAATGGTATGCATTCTTTAACAATTTCGGTTGAGTGGATGTAAATCAACTTCTGTAAGTAGTGTTTTATCACTGCTCTTTCTTAGTTGCAGCATGGACATATTTCCGCACTTCCTCGGGTTGAACATCAAGCAGCAGTTGCACCAACCAGTAGTAAATCCGTTGTGTTGGAATTTGCACAATCAACAAACAATGCAGCACTCTCTAGCCATTTAGCTGCTAGACCTCTGGAGAGTTCTTCAGTGAATTTTAATGGCTACCAATACCCCATTTCAGCTCATATACAAACACCACCAGTGTTTGGAGGAGGAAACCCTGCTCAAGCATTGCCTTTAATCAACGCGCCTTTCATTTCAAATCAAATGTTTCACCCTTCCTATGTTCAGCAGCATCAAGTCCAACCGTCCCATCAAAACGCAAATTCATCACCTTCTCACAGGCAACAAGAGTCCCATAAACCGAGGGAAATACAATTTAGTAGCAACAATTGTTTTACCTCACAAAAGCAACATGTATCCCCAGGTGAAATGAACATGGAGAATGCCGCATCACCTGCTGCCTCTCATGCTCAGAACAGTGTTTATGGGCAGAATTTTTCGGTTCCATTTCAACCCGTCAACTTTACCCTGATGCCTTATGTGACAATGGGTGGCGGTGGCGGTGGTGGTGGCAATGGAAACCACGTTGAGCAATCACAGAAACAGGGCTTAAAGGGTGGAGTTGAGCTCATCCCCTCTAAGGCATATGGCATGTCATTTTCCTCCGTCACTGGAAATAACGGCTCGGGTTCATGCTTGAACTTTTCATCCATGGCACAAAATCCTGCAATATTTCAAAGCCTCCCAGATACGGCCCAGCAAGGGTATAAAATCACACCAGCACCTCAAGCTGGGCAGCAAAAGAATCACCACCACCACCAAATATCCCAAAGGAAGACTGATGGTGGTTCGAACAACGCTGATGATGGGTTAAGAGCTGCTTCTGGGAAGTCTTCATCAGGTACTGTGCAGAGGCAGACCCTTGTTTTCGACAATTCATCGAGAACTCTCAACTTCATGTCATCGAGTTCTCAACAGCAGAACCTGTTCCAGTTTCAGCCGCAGAACCCACATCTGTTGCAAAAGCAGCAACCCGCTATTGCTGCCAAGGTCCCGAAAAGCGCCCCAGTTTCCTCCAAAGCTCTAATGCAATGCAATAGTCATCACCAATCTTCTCAGTTGAAAAACTCAAGAGCCATGACTTCTCCCCTGCAACAAAGAAGAGGTTCACAAGGTCGGACTCAGATATCTTTCGGTGGAAACCTGAAATCAGCCTCAGCACCACAAGGACAACAGAGACTCACTAACCACCACTCTTCATCAATCTCTGCATTACAGTCACACCAAACCGAGAATTCTTCGCCGAGCGGTAATGGCCCAATCTCCTCCCCTGCCTGTGGGAGGAACTTGCCATCAATCTTGAGCACGTGTCCCAGCCACATTTCTGAACTCAAGTTCTAGCAGCAAATGCTGTGACTCTGCTAATTGCTTGCTCTGCAAGTCTCACAGTCAACAATATTCCCCATCTCCCGGTTCTAATTTTTGATCCCGAAAAGGATGGTCCAGCTCCGGCAGTGCGCTGTCTCGAATCACGAAAACTTGTTTAAGTTCAATAACTCTAGTTATGGACTGAAATTCTTTTTCTGTACAAAATTATGAACAGCAATTTTATCCCTTTTTTTTAGCTATTTTTGTATATTATTGCTTGTAATTTTGTCCAACATGCTTGAATGGACTTGCATTTCAAGAATAAACCAAACTTACTAGCTCTAATTAAATGATGGAACAACTTAATCCGATTCTCCAGAAGCGATCGGCATAGGAGCTTACTCTATGCTTCCCACCTCCTTTCTGTCAACTGCCAGAATTTAATTAACATACCTTAAGGTTAAACATAACCTTAAATTCTACAAAATAAATTGAAAAGCTCGTGTGAAAAGTCTTCAGTTTGCTGAGAACAAAATGAAAAAGAGAATTCTCGCTCAGAAAATTCTTTATGTCGTTCTCATCAGCGTGAACACCTGCAGATGCACGCAACTATTGCAATGAAATGTACCGCAAAGGCAGTCCACATGGATAACATGGACTTAAAGGACTACCATTGCGCTAAAGGCCCCTAAGAATGGCGAAAGTACTTAACTATTAGCGGTATTACTTCTCACGACTATGGCCGCGCCGGAGGCTACAGTCCAGGTGGCGGCGGTGGCATAGTAGGGGCTGACGTGCTGGAGGAGGAATGGGTGGGAGTGTGCTTATACTTTGAAGGACACCATGGTCATCGTCTTATACTTTGGAAGTCTGGAAGGCCAGTGAAGCGTGCAGCTTATGGTTATGCGGGCTGACACGTGATCAGCACGTGACATGTGATAATTGCCTAGTTGATTTGTATATTGGGCCTGAAAACTGGGCCTACAAGGTGTGCAGTATTATGGGTTTGGGTTTTGAGTCCATTTGATTTATAGTTTTTCAATCACAAAAAATTGTTGGACCAATATTAGTTCTTCAACAAATTAGTAGCGAATCCACGTTGGTCCTCAAAGAAAATGAAAAGTTTTAGCGACAGTGTGGGATTGTTGTGATTTAAAAAAAAAATGTTTTTGATTTGTTTTAAGAATAATTAGTTGTAAAATAAAGTAGTTGAACGTTTGGTAAACTATAAAATAAAGCAACGTTTGATAAGTTCCTCCTTGTGGTGGCAACAATTGTGGGGTTTTATGGTTGTGATTAGGGTTTGTAATAGTAAGTGGTGGTGATCACTTTGTTCTTTAAGGAACAAAATGTGTCTATAACGATAATAATATCATTTTTGAAAATTGATGATGGTATTACAAGAATCAAAATATTCATTAAGGATCAACTACGTTTTTTTTACTAAAAAAAGCTCTGAAAAACAGTTTTTTTTAAAGATTTTGTCTGAAGACTATTATTTTTAAAATAAACATAATATTTTATTTTTATAAAATATTTTTTTATTGTTTAACTTCATTCGCATTAAAAAGACAATATCAAATAAGGCCTTAATTTTAGCAACTTGTACCCGAGTGAACGTTGACTTTTGCCTTTTGGACTCTCTATACTTGTGAATAAAGTTTGGAACTAAAGCTTGTTAATTGTTTTTAATGTAAAATTTGAACAAAAGTAGCCAAGAAGAAAATGAATTTTGAGTTGATTGTATAAAAAGTTAGACAAAAAACAACAAATTTAGCAAAATTATTTGGCTAAATCGAATTAAGAATTTATGAGTGTCAAAATATAATTATAGGGTAAATTATTAGGCTAAATTACAAAGTTTGAGGAGAAGGTGATTGATGGCCGAGTTATTCCTGAACACTGAAGAGAGATATGTTGGAATATAAGTATGAGAGAAAAAAGTTTTAGGGACCGGCTATAGATATTCAATTTGATAGGAAAGTCTTATTAATAAGAGGAATGCTAGTCCTTAATAAAAAAAAATTAAAAAAAAAAAAAAGAGAAAAAAAACAGCATTGAGATCAGTTTCTTATGGAACAAGAAAACAAGATTTTTTTTTTTTTTTTTTTGAACAAACGATATTATCTACACTAAGGAGGGATGGGCTTAGCCTCACAATAGGCTAGCAATAATGCGGTTCAAATTCGCCTTTGACGAGAATCGAATCTAAGATCTCTCACTTACAAGTGAAGAGGAATACCACTAGAACGTAGTACTAAGGAGTGAAACAAGAAAACAAGATTTAGTTTCCTATATGGAATTTAATAGGGAATCCTATCTGATCTGGTAAAGACTATATTTATATATAGTGGCCTCTCTTTTCACAAAACACAACTTAAATCTCTACTTACACGTGTGGAGAAAGGAAGATCAAAGAGAGAGAAACGCCTAACCCTAACTCCTGCATTCTCTTTGTCTCGCTCTCCCTATCTTTCTCCTGCAGTATCCTTTTTCTCAAACAAAGCCATGTTGGAATCCCGATATCCTGTCGGATCAGGATCCGGATCCGTCAAGGGGTGGCATGCGGCGGAACTGGCTAAGTTCAAAGCGTTCGACCACGATATCCAGAATACTAATTAAAGGTATGCTTTTTTCTTTTTGATTTTTTGTCTTAGGGTTTATCTGTGATGGGGAAGATGATCTGGAATTTGCAATTGGCTAGCAACAACTATGCAATGCTTTGAATTAAAGAAGGAAAAGTAAAGGGGTCTTTAGTTATATGTTTGCTTGCTTGCGCATTCTATTAGGAATTTGTCGTCTGAGCAGCGCTGTGTAAGTGCCTTACAGCGCTTCTATGGCCCCTAAAAAACATTCAAATTTTACAGCGCTTCCATGGCGAAATTAATATTCAACCATGTATACATCACTATCAGATGCAGTTTGATTGTGATCAGAGACCGTCTAACAGCAACTAGAAATTAGACATATAGAAGACATACCATCATTCTGCTAGTTTGTGGGCACATCGATGCTCTCTTATCATTAGCCTCATGGTTTGCGAGTGCTGATTTCCATAGCAAGTAAGCTTTTTATTCTGATCACAATACTTGGAAAATGGGAATGCATGCTGTTTTCTGCTTTCTGTTCTATAGTTTATATTTTTGGTAAAGTAAAAAAAATTACTTCAACTATTAATGTCACGACACTTTCATACTTTATTTTTTTTAAATTGACAATGTCATACTTCATTTTTAGAATTTGCTTCAATGTTATACCTTTCATTACTTGACCGTTTACTTTTCAGTTAAATGCTGACGTGATTTGATTCGGAACCCACTTTCTATTAAAAAATAATAAAATATTATTAAAAACTTAAAAAAAAATTATTTAATATTTTTTAAAATAATAAAGAAAAGTAAAATAAAAAATCCGTCCCTTCCCCCCTCTCTCCCCATCTTCATCTTCTTCCCTTCTTAATCTTCAACCAAAACCCATCAAACCCTTCCCCCCCCCCCCCGGCATGGGTAAATTTGTCGAAGTTTTAACCGCTCACCAATTTAACTTCAACTCCCAGAAGCTTGGGATGCTCATTCGTTCCACGCTTATTACTTCTTTGTACAAGAAGGGGTTGAGGTTGTCATGGTCAGCTCGGTAGGCTCATGGAAGGAGAAGGAGAAGGAGGAAGAAGAGGAAAAAAAGGAGAAGGAAGAAGGAAAAAAAAAAATTCTAACCCAACCCAGTTCGGTCCCCCTGCAACCCAGAAACCAGAAAGAAGAAGGAGAAGAAAAAGAAAAAAAAACAAATCGTTCCCCCCCCCCTCCAAAAAAAAAAACCCAACCTCTTGCCAATCCCAAATTCACCACTCTCATCCATTCTTCACATCGTCTTCCGCACCCATCCTCTACCCATCTTCCCGCCGACCGGATTTGGTTTTTTATTTTTTTTTTCTGGGTTGCCGTAGGGAGAAGAGGGGGTGGGGAAGGGAGAAGACAAACTGAGAGTGGGTGCGGGGGGAACACAAATTGGAAATTTTTTTTTTCTTTCTTTTTTTTAAAGGGGTTTGCAGGTGGTGGGGGTGGGGGAAGAAAATGAAATGGGGAGAAGAGAGATGAGGGGGAGGGGGAAGGACGAACTGAGGGTTTTTTTTTATTTTTTATAATGATTTTTTGTTTTTGTTTTTTTACTTTTTATTATTATTTTAATATTTAAAAATATTAAATATTTTTTTTAGTTTTTAATAATATTTTAATGATTTTTTAATAGAAAGTTGGTCTGGAATTAAGCGACGTGAGCATTTAACTGAAAAGTAAATGGTCAAGTAACGGAAGGTATAACATTAGACCAAATTCTAAAGATGAGATATGATATTGTCAATTTTAAAAGATGAGTTATGAAAGAGTCGTGATACCAATAATTAAACTAGTTTTTTGTACTTTATCCTTATATTTTTGTAGCAGGATAATTTCGCCGGGGCCGGGTGTCTTATTTATTATTTATATTTTATATTTTAGGCATTCAAGTATTCTGACTTTTGAACTTTAAACAAATTAACAGACAAAGAAGAATGTGTCCAAAGAGAAACAAACAAAGAGGAGGAAGATTTACAAAAGGGTGTTGGAGACTCAATGACTCGACTGACTCAACTGGAACTCGATGACAAAGAAGAAGAAGAAGGATTCAAAGGATTTGATGCTGGCTGTGCAATTTGTTGTACAGAAGGTAACCACGGCACTGGTACTTGTCCGTACTGGGATTTTGTTCCAGCGGGCGTTACCGTGAGCAGCAAATATGATATAGGTTGTAAGTTCTGTGGTCATCTTGCTGGTTACCACGGGGGTGAGTACGGAAAGGACTATAAAGCTCGCGTTGTTATGAAATAATGCTACCGGTGTAGGAAGGCAGGGCACTGGGATGAAGAATGCGCGGGATATATCAAGTCAGAACGCGGCGATTGGTTTTTAAAGCTGTTGGCAAAGGGATGTTGTATTCGGTTGGCTCAGTAGTTGAGGGATGCAGTGTCATTACTTTGACAGCCACCCTTCCTTTTTGAATTTTTATACGTAACTTGGGGAAGATTCCACATTTTAACTCCATGTGGTTGTGAGACCTGGTCATTTGGAAACAGTTGTTTGAGGTCAAGTAGTAATTTTGAAGTCATAAGATGAAGGGACATGTATTTACGAGTTTGTAGCAATTTTCATGCCTGTTTTTGGGAGCTCGGATGTGTCCAGCGCGAATCTTTGAATGTCTTTGGATCGATCAAAGTGTTTCGTCACTCTCTTATTGACCAAGAGCTCTGCTGCTCGTCCTAAATCATCCATCCCCCAATATCCTCACTGGCACT